GGCAAGTATATAAAGCACTGGAAGGGAATTAAACCCAAGACTGGCGCACCATATTCCTGTGATATTGGCTACGAACGATTTCTTGGTCCTGAGGTTTGCTTTTAGCTTATTTCATCATGATGGATTTCATTGTAGATATGTTAATTGCATGCTTGAGTTTGGCTAGGATGAAAAGAGAATTAATGTTATCCCGTTGTTCACTTCGCAATTGTAGTTTATGTCACCGTATTGCTGAACTGTTTTGGCAATGTTGATGATCTGCAGGTATTTTTCAATCCTGAAATTTATAGCAGCGACTTTACCACTCCATTGCCTGTTGTAATAGACAGGTGTATTCAGTCTGCGCCAATTGATACCAGAAGAGCGTTGTACAAGGTGAAGTATTCTTGAAAAACTATCGAGCTTGATTATGATGAAACGATCAATCCGAAGATGATAGTTTTTTCAGCTTAGGAAATTTATTGAATGTCGTTTACCTTGTTTGTGTGCATTTGACTCAGGTTCCACATGTGGTTACATTTTTTTGTAGATATATTGAACCTTCCCTTTTGCCCTTCTGTCTTCTGCCATTCTTTAGTCATCAGATTTTCTTCAAGTTCAGTTTTCATTTTCCGTTTCTTTTTTGGTTTGGGGGAGTGGGGAGGGGGGAGGGATCGATTTGAATTGCCTAGATATATATAATGATCGTTTTCCATTGTATTACTCATTCTTCTTCTTTCAAAATCCTACTTCTCATATTAATTAGATCTGTTGCTTACCTTAGAACATAGTACTATCTGGAGGTTCAACAATGTTCAAGGACTTCCATAGGAGGTTACAAAGAGACTTGAAGAAGATCGTGGATGCCCGAATCCTTGCTTCTGAAGCTAGAATAGGAGGAGAAATAAAAGTGAGAATTTATATGATCTTTTTGTTCCCCTCTTTTAAAAAAGAAACCGATTATTGTATTATATAGGTCTTTTTACTGCAGGACAAATTACTTTCCGATTAGTTTATAATTTCCTTGCCTTTTTCAGTCGCATCCAGTGGAAGTCAATGTTGTTAGCCATCCCATCCAGAGATTTGCCGTCTGGTTTGGTGGCTCTGTTCTTGCGTCAACTCCCGAGTTTTTTGCGGTATGTATGCTATATCTTCTTCATATGCCAATTACAATCCCTTTCGGCAAGGAAAAACATGATAGCTTGTTAGGTGTTTTTCTTGTCTGGTGGGTTGGGGAAGAGGACGATCAAGCATTTCTAAAAGAGGGAGAAATGAGTCTCCAAGGTTTTGCTCATTTCTTAACGAGCATGTCCATTTGAGCAGTTTGTCGGATATGGTTTTTCTTACACATGAGAGCTCCCCAAGTGTTTGCAAAGTGATTCACGGGGAGATTATCGAAAACTTTTCATTTTTCAATGTGGTTGGAGAGCCTATTCACGACCGAATACTATTTGATTCTTGCATAATGTCTCCTAAGAACAATCTGCCAAATACAGCCCAACATCCCCAGTGCAAGAATAGTAGCTAAGTTCACGAGTATATCTTTAATCAACGAACATATATTGTTTTGTTTGGATGCAGGCTTGTCATACAAAAGCAGAATATGAGGAGTGTGGTGCAAGCATATGCCGCACAAATCCTGTTTTCAAAGGAATGTACTGATGCAAAGATCCTTGAGCTTTTTGGCCTTTGGATAGTATAGTCCCTGACTTATGTTGTGGATCAGATGCTTTGCTGTTTCCCCCTTAACATGCACCTCGGTTCGGTTCCATGCTGTGCAGGCTTTCATAGATGTACATGGGTGGTGTAAAATATGATCATTTTCTGTATAATTTGTACGAAATGTGGTTCATTACTTCAATTCTTTCATTGGGGGCCAGGTTTTCTAAAATTAGCAATTGGTCCAAATTTAGCTTTCTCATGTAGATGGGCGTTGAGGAATCCTATAAAAATCAGCATCTCAGTGAATTTTAGACGAGAGCTGAATAGCATGTTTTTTTTGGCGTTCAGCTTAGGTGAAAGTTTCAGAAAGAGGTTTATCCTGTGTGTGACAATGTCTTATGATCTATTACGACCAAAAACTTTAAACATTTGGAATGCTTAATAATCCGCAATCTTTAGTCACTGTGCTTTACATCCAATATTATTTGTTTTTCTTTTCCTTTACAAGGAGTTATTTGAGATTTACTTACCACTAATGATATATCAATGTATACCCATCCTTGTAACTTTAAGTTGTATCCTTTCAAATTTATACTAGTACCCATTTAAATTCTTAAAATCTTCGAGGTAAATCAATTTAATATTTTCTGGGATTTATAACTAGTTTTACTCTATTCAATTCTACACAAGTATGATAGAGAAAGACCGATAATGTTCGGAAACATCAAGTTAGGTAAAAAATCAAATTTTTTGGTTGGCGATTGGAGACAGAGTAGATGAGTGATAGAGAGGCTCAAAGATGTTTGAGGTGTTTTGATAAAATCGACTCACGAGTGATTCTCGATAAGCGTGTCCAAGCAAGCAGTGAAAATTGATGATGTCTCAAAACTTGGGATGACGACACAAAGCTTGGGCTATGGTGTTGAGAATCACGATGACGAAATGAGATGCAACATTGCATTCAAAAGACCTTGACATATAATAGAGACAAGTGTGCTAGAGTCACAATAGAACATGTACACACGGGTCGTGTGTGTGGCTGGACAATTTTAGTTTTCGTATGAGTTGTGTTTGATTGACGGAGGAGAACCTCATCTAAGGTTCGATGAAAAATAGAAATGAGGCTTTAGTTCCCCTTAAGGCTTGTCATGTGTGTGTCAAGATCATGAGATCACAGTGTGAAAAGTACAACTGTAATAGTTTACATTAGAGTCACACCTTGTATGTCTAGTCAGACAAGAATGTCAAAAAACTAATCTGATGAGTGTAATGAAGACTTTAAAAATGCGTCATGAGTACTAGATTGAGCTGGGCAGTTGTAATATTTAGAATCATGAATAACTTTATGGGTCGAAGCCAGAGTCCTTGTGGTTAAGAAGAGCCTCGACGCACGAACTAAGCTCACTTGCAAAAGGGATTGGAGTTCTTAATGGGTAATAAATAATTAGAAGGTGTACAATGTAAGGTGCTTTCGAAGGAACCATTTCCATTAGAGAATAATGTTCATGGTTGCAAGCAAAGAAATTGGAGGCCAAGTGGGACATGTGCCAACCAAGTGCTAGATTGAGCATAATGTAAGTCCATATGGGAGGACGATGTCACTATAGATGAGGTAGCTGAGTTAAGTGGGGGAGAACCCAAGAGGGTTGCTGAACTCGTAGAAGTACTCCAAGAAGTGAGCACATATCTATTCCTTAAACCTTCACCTCATGCCTAGGGTGGGAGGCTTCAAAAGAGTTGTTGAGACCAACATTCATTCGAACAGAGAGCATCAAATTGGACCTTAGTGACATGAGGAATGAGCTGTAGGAAGACCAAGAAGTGACATCGCAATGTTTGCCGCATAAAGTTGACCCCGTTGAGAAGTTAGCTGAAGTATAGAGCCAACATGGGGCTGTGTGACAAGCTTCCAGACTTTGCTTCCATAAGGTACGTTATGAGAAAATGTTGTGGTTGAGCTTGCAATTCCAACCTCGAGGGGTACACCATTTTTTGCAACTTTGCGAATATGTGTGTTAAGACCAAGATGATTACGTTTAGGTCGTGCTCTCCTTAGCTTAAGGGAGAATATGATGATGCTAGTTTTACCATGGTTTTTGTGGTAGGTCTCGAGGGAAGTTCAAGAGAAGGGCGAAGTTAGGTCCTAGATGAGAAAACCCACAACCATTGGGCAACTGCTATTTGTTGTGCTTATATTGCGAGTCTTAGATAGCAAGAGATCAGTGTGATAGCCCAAGTAGTGCACAGTTTTCATATTCATTCTAAAGCACATTTATTTCTAGCAATTCAATTAGTAGCTAATCCGATGTTGATGATGCTGAGATTAAGTGTGTGAAAATGTCATAATCCAGGATGCAATTGTGCCCTCGAAAAAATTATCGAGGCCCGAGATAAATAAGTGTCATGATGCGATCAAAGAGAATGACATATCGGGTAGACAAGAGTGTCAGAGACAAGCTTAAAGAAAGTCTGTGTAGGACCTTAGGCCATAACCTCAAAAGTTAAAGTTTCAATATGAGTTTCAACATACGACTCTAAAGTTAAATATGAAAGTTTGCCAAATTTAGCGTCAGTTGAACACTTAATAGACGCTCCGCGAAGTCGTATGACTATTCACTAAAATCACGTATCAAAATATCAGAGGAGACATAGTGTCAACTCTCCACCACCTTTGGGACATGTGGCATAAGTGAGCTATCTCATGTCATATGTGTCTAAGACATCTTCTTCTGAAAATGGATTTTTAGAGAACAACTGTCAACCCGTGCTGACATTGCGCTCCAACCCATGAGTCATAGGGTATATAGTGTATGAGGTATTTTTCGAGAACAGGGTTTAGGATATATGGGGTCATTCTCCAGCACAGTATCGATAAATGACTAGATATTAGGATATATGGGGTCATGGGGTCATTCTCCAGCACAATATCGATAAATGACTAGATATGGACCTAGAGGGGACCTAGAGGGTTCATACCTCAATAGTACCAAAATAGATGGATGTCTAAGATGTCTCAACTATAAAGTTTAACTCATGGGTCAATTCTTGATAAGCATATCCATGGTAGCAGAGAAGGTAAATGATGTCACGAAACTTGGATGGCAAACGTAGGTCGAAAAATCTTAGCCTAGAGGAAAGAAAAGGTGGAAGTAGATGACTTGACCTAGAGTAGAGGTAAGTCGGCTAAAATTGCGACGAGTAGTAGTCAAACAAGCTTAATTTCCGCACGAGTAATGGTATATTGAGATTGTTTCCATTCCATTTGTTCTGTTCAAATGTTGTCTGCCATCTTTTAATGAATAGCTGTTTTGTTGATATATGATGTTAAAGAACCAAGCAGAAAGCAAGCCCTCCATAAGTGCTTAAAACCTGCGAAAGAACAAGCAGACCCATCCATTTCCCATCCAAATATCAACAGCCACCATAAAAACCATTCTCCACGTCCTTTTTGGGACCCCTATTTACAAATTAATAATTTCATACGCCAAATCTAGTGATTAAAATGCAATGCAATGCCTATAACATTACACCATACTTTTGACATCAATGGAGTTGTGTTTCCCCACACAAACTTACTACTCACTTCTTTCTTTTTGGTTAATTTAGATCGATCTCAACCCGCTCTGGATTTCCCCTTTCGGTTTGATTCCCCATAAGTTCGACCCCGAGCTGCCCTTTGTCTCCAGCACCAAATGCATACAACTTCCCTGATTCGGTAAGCGCAAATGTGTGTGCATTCCAGTAAATTGAATTAGTGAGGCTAATCTGAACGACCCGCTCGCTAATTTGCTTCAAAGACCTTACTAGTTCCGGGCTTAGGATGCGCGGTTGCCGATTCCCCTGTACAATATCATCCATAAAAGCATCCATTACTTGTCAGGATTCAGCAGAAATAACAGTCGTCTAGCTGATATGCTAGTTCATAATCAAGTACATTATGCATGGAAAGTGTCTAAATGATATCATTATAGTATATCAATCTAGAACTGTATCTGTTCTTAGCATGGATGTGTTAAAAAGATATAAGAAAGCGAGACCTGCCCCCCGGGGACATCGATGTTATGTCCGAGACTAGCAGATTCTCCACAACCGAAAGAATACACATCGCCATCGTCTGATACGACGAACGTTGTATAATCACCTGTAGCAACATGAACTGCTTTAACATTGCTTAATGCTTCCACTACCTTAGGGGAAGATTCACACTCCTCATTTCCATGACCCAGGCATCCATATCGGCCCCAACCCCACGTACAAACTCGACCGTCGCGACCTACAACAGCTGCGTGCCAAGCACCAGCAGCAACCACAACTGGCTGGAAATTCAGAAGCTGGAATTGTTCAATGAGACGTGGGTGTTTCTCATCGGTCCTTGAACCATGACCGAGCTTCCCGCCCAGTCCACAACCAACTGAGTATACCGACCTGACGTTTTGGAAAACATAGGATTGTGATTCATATGTTTGTAACGAGGTAAAGACAGAGAAATGTTAAATGAAGATGAAGCTCACATTCCATTAGGATGACAAGCTAGAGCAAGAAGGTAGCAATATCCAGCAGCAATTTGAACAACTGGAGTGTTTTCTAACGCTCCCATCAGGGGCCGTGGTTCCAAGTCGTTCGGTTCAGTATGATGACCGAGCCTACCGTCACTCCCCCAAGAAAATGTATACACTCTACCTTCTCTTGATAATACTGCAGTGAAGAAGTTTCCAATTGCAGCTTGCACCACAAATATATCCTTCAGTGATTCGACCAACTTCGGCGTTGTAACAATTTGATCTCCTTGAGCTCCATGCTCAGCTTCACCGAATGAATCCTTGCCAAATGCATAAACACGCCCCGCGTCGCTGATTAACATTGTCCTTCCAGCCCCTACTGCTGCCTGAGTTATTCGAATTCCTTGCAGGGATCTGCAAGATCACGGTGTCCATTAATTTTTATACTACCTCTCTTGATATCAGGTGAAGAATTGTTGAAATTTTCGCAACCTGAGAAGGCGAGGCCGTGATTCCTCTTCGGTGGTACCATGTCCAAGCTGACCAGAGCTGTTAGATCCAAAGGAGTAAACAGCTCCTTTCGACGTGACCGCAATGCTGTGACCGGGTCCTGCGATTGCCAGGGATTTTTCCCTTCTGCAACATGCTTCTCCAGCCACTAAAAACCTTAATACCAGTTTCCATGAGCCACCACATCTTTGCTTCAATGCTTGATGCTGTTCTTCTGTCATAGGTTTGAATATGGCTCTCTTTTGGCACATATCTAATGCAGCGAGTTCCGAAATCGATAATTCATAGTCAGGAGCAAATTTCGCAGGCTGTCTAAAAAACGAACACGTCACCTGCAATACGCACAGACGAAATCAATCAGCAGCATTATCAATCCTGGAAAAGTAGAACAAGGGAAATGAAAAATCTTGCCTCTAACTTTGCAAGGTCTTGAGGATCCAAGTTACATGCTGTCAGGACATGAAGAACAATGGAGGGATTGGCAGCTAAGGGGAATTCGCCTGGGTCGGATTCCCCAAAGCAACGTCGTTTCGACAATGTCGATGTTGCATTTGTGACAATTGTAGAAACTGACTGATCAGGAATGCTATGGAATTGTATAGCCGCTGTTTCGCTCGTCGTGGCATCCATGGGCACTGCCTAAGGCTTTGCAGTGCCCAAACTCGATCGAAGACGAGACTAAATCGCTGAGATTGCGAGAACATGAACAAAGAAATCACTACATTATTCAGTCCAGGCGATCTACTGTAAATCTAGAAGATTGAAGGTATCATTATCTACCTAGTTTAACCAGATTATTCAACAAACCTTCACTCTTCAATCTACATCAGAAACAAAACAACGCCTGTATAAGTTCCTCACAAGACAAAGAATATAACAAATGAAAAGGCAAAAAACTTCAATGGATTAATGGATGCTTGGAACTTGTTGATTGAAGAACATAAAAGATTAGATCAGTTAACTCCAACCAAACATGTTAAGAACAAGCCACTCGATCAGTACAACTTGAGCTCAAGAACAGCAAAAACAAAGGCAAGACAAAGAGAAGCAGAAGGGATAGCAGGAAACTATGAACAAAACAAAAGAAGGAAGACGATGATCACAAAAATTGGGTTGGAGAAGAAGGCAAAGCTTTGTTAGGAAGAATACCAATCGTTGATGAATGGATATTCGAACACCAAAGAGACCCAAAAAGGAAAGGATTTACCATAAGAGAGGAAGAACACCTATTCACGCAAACTCATTAAGGAGCAAAAGTCAGAGATACCAACATGACCAAAAAATTATATCAATTAGTGAATGACCCAGAACAGGGTTTACAAATTTAACCATGCCCATCAATGATCAGCCATGATTCTTTTCAGAAAACAAAAGATTTCCTCATACCCAGATCATAAAATTTCCAGAAACTCAAAAGAAATCCACAAAAATGATCATCGCAGATCGATCAGTAGTTATTCAGAAACGAAATTACATGTAAGTGGAAACCAGAATTTAGATCAAAGAATGGATGAAGACGAAGTGGGTTTTCCGATCAGATGCTTCTTCTTTTGCCACATGATGATGATGATGATGATGATGAATTAGAGGATGATTCAGGAATTCTTCTTCTCCCAAAGAAAATGAAAGGGAATTTCCTTTTATCTCGAGGAGTGAGAATGAATAATTCCTGCTTTTTTATTATCCTATGAGAGCCGTCTGCCTTCTTCTAAATCTATACGTTTTTAAAGAGATTAGTGAAAGAACTAATCCCTTTGCTTCCCATTATTTATAGTGTTTATCCTTTTTACACGTTTCCCTTTTCATCGACTATTTTTTTCAAGTTCCACCCATTTGTGCCCTTTTTCTTTGACTATCCCAAATTAATTTTTTAAGTTTTTTTTATTTTATTTTTTTATTTATGACTAATGGCAATCCCACACAGTTCAAAGAGCCATAAGAATAGGATTTTTAGTTGAAATTTACCTCTTTTTTCCCCCTTTCAACTACGTTTTCACTCTTTTAAAGTGACACTGTGTGGGCTATTTTATTATTATTGAGGTGATTTTATTGGGAACCGACATTATTATTATTATTATTAAAATTGTCTTGAAATATTTAGGCTAACCCTTTTCCATTACTTCAAGAGAGGAAGAACTGTCACATCCTCACCATGCCCATACTCTCAATAATTTCAAGTTTCTAAACACATTCTCTTCTTCATCTCTTTGCTCTTGAGTCCCACATCATTCAATTCATCTCAAGAATGGAACTTTACGCAACAAAGCTAAAAGAGATCCAATGGGTCTTCTTAAATAGTTGTAAGAAACTACTGAAACAAAGCTTTGGAGAGAGAGAAAGAATTATGGGTTTGGAATGCTAAGATGTGTGTCAGTGATAGTGGAATTATGAACTGAAAATGATTGACATTGGTTTACAAAGGCCTAACCGAACTGGATTGAATTAAAAGTCCAGTGGGTTTCCTTCAAGAACGAACATTCAAGAACACCAATGGCAAGAAATAGAGCAGAACAGGGGATTCAGTACCAGTTTCACTGCTTTCATCTGCAATTCTTCGTTCCACTGGCCTCTTGATTTGGTTTGAGAGTAAAGTTTTCGACATAAATCCTTGATTTTGGGAGGAAATGGATGCGACCCAGATGCTAGAATTTACTTAAACTTCATGGAAACTAGAAATGATGTGGTGTGAGGAGAGATTTGAGACAAAGTGGAGGAAGGGCTGAGGAAAGAAGCAAATGCTCTGTTTCCCTTGAATGATTCTGACAGCAATCATTTGAAGCTGAAACATCACAACTTTCTCTCTTTTCCCCCCCCAAGCTATGATCATTCATAGGCATGAAGTTGTGTAAACATGGCATTGTTCTGGGTTTCTTTAAACGAAGCCATTGAAGCATTTTAGGGAAACCACTCATTGCAATGCGATGGCCCTTTTCTTTATGGATTCTTGCTTGTGCGAACACAAAGAAGCATATCAATCTAGTAGTTTCTTCCTTCTTCCACCTCCTTCATTGCTTCGTTCATGGCCGCCAACGATGAGGCCAAATTCCCTCACTCTACCGGCGACCACCTCTGTTTCGAAGATAAAGTGGGCGCTGCTGAAGTTGAGCGATCAAAAACTTAGTGGAGCTCACGACTATTTATTTTATTTTCTACATTTAATCCTAAATCTTTATTCTCAAAATATTAAAAATTATTTACATATCTTTATTTTAAACTATATAAATATTATTTTTTCAATAAATATATATCTTTATTAGGCTTCATTATTTTTAAAATTAAATTTATTTTTATAAAAAAGCTAAATTAATAAAAAAAATATATATTTTATATTTATCATGAAGTTTGAAAATAACATTAATATACTAAAACTTTTATAAAAACAAATAAATAAAAATAAATTATTTTAAATTAGAAGAAGAAGAAGATATTAGGGATGAGGGAAGAATGGTGGGGGCAACGAATTTGAGGCTTGAAATTCCCGAAGCGCACCGTTTTGGATAAGAACACAATCCCTTCTCTCAATTTGATTGGCTCTCATTTCCCCCAAATTCTCACTTAAATCTCAACCCTAATCCCTTCAATCTTCACTTTCCCTTCTTCAATGGCGGCAACAATGGCGACCATGGCGATCCTCAACGCCAAATGCTTCACCCCCAACAGAACCCCCCTACCACTCCTTCCCTCAAAGCCCACAAGACCCATCTCCCTCCCAATCCCATCTCCCAAATCTTCTCTCGCTGGATCCGCCATTGCCGGAGCCATCTTCTCCACTTTCAGCTTCACCGACGCCGCCTTCGCCGCCCAACAAATCGCCGATCTAGCCGAGGGCGACAACCGTGGGCTGGCTCTGTTGCTGCCGCTCATCCCGGCTGTGGCTTGGGTTCTCTTCAATATTCTTCAGCCGGCGCTGAATCAGATCAACCGGATGCGGACCGAGAAGGCGGTGATTGCAGGATTGGGTCTCGGCGGGCTGTTGGCCTCTGGGCTGGTGGGGACGCCGGAGGCAATGGCGGCAGAGGCTTCCAACGACGCGAGAGGACAGCTGCTACTGATTGTGGTGGCGCCGGCGATTCTGTGGGTTCTGTACAATATTCTTCAGCCGGCGTTGAACCAGCTGAATCGGATGAGGTCGGAGTGAAATGGTAACGGTGATATTCAAACATCTGTAATTTTAAATGCAACTCTCTCTCTCTCTCTCTCTCCTCATTTATAAATGAATCGTTGAAGAAAGAAAATACGTAAATTATTCCAATTTTAAAAAAATTCAAAAAACTAAGAAATGGCTAATAAAATAATAATAATCACTTTTATAATAATTAAATTAGTTTTTAAAGGATTGCTTAAATAATATTTTAAATCCATGTTGTTTTTGAGTCTCATTTGAAGCTCACGTGACTAACCCCGTGAAAGGTTTTAAACTTTTATTCTAAACCAATAATAATAATAATAATAATTTCTAATGAATTTAAAAATCCTTTATATAGTGCGAGTGTCTTTATAAAAAAATTTAATTTATTTCATTTTTTCAATTCAATCACATTACCCATCAAATTCAATTTTTTTTTATTTTATAAAAAGAAGGTTACAATTTTAAATTTATAATAAATTATTGTGAAAAAATATATACCAAATGCTGCATAATTAGTGAATTTTTTTTGATTTATTGGCTAATTTATTTTATTTATTTAAGAGATTTTAGAGTATTGGGTTTGAAAAAAAGCCGAGGGAGATGTTTTTGACATAATATCTACCACTTAAAAATGTGAATACATCTGATAATATTATTACTGAGGGAAACAATACAGAGTTGAAAAATAAAAAAAATACTATTATAGAAATAATTCAGAGTTGAGAAATAGAATTATCTAAGATTCAATCTATATTGACAACTTTTAAATATGATACAACCTACCAATTAATACCTATAATTAAAAAAATAATAATAATAATTGGTTTTGATATATTCTATAACTAATATATTCTAGAATTGACATGTTTTAAGTTTAGCTAAATAATTCACAAAAGCCGAAAGTCACGCCACTTCCTAATCCCATTAATATTGATAATTCTCCTATTTACTCCATAATCTACGCTTCCTTTAATAAATTATCCAATAAAAAAAGTATGATTTAAAAAAGAATCTAATAAAAAGTTATAATAATAAATTTTAAGAATCTATTTCGAGTTACTGAGAACGAGCTATTGAATTTTTTCCGTCATTATATCTTCAAGATTACTCTAATTTGGACGTGATTTCGATTTGTTCACATACCTCTCGTTTACTTGGATTTCACATATATATCCACTGAGACACCGTCATTATGAATATAATCGTGCATTATTCTATTATACAAAAATAATGAATTGATATAAAAATAAAAATAAAAAGCACTTAAATCCAAAACACTCATTGAATGAAAATTTAAAAAAAAAGTAATTAAAAATTGTCAATTATTAATAAATAAAGGGTAGAGGAGTGATATAAAAGCAAGGCATGTGCAGACATGTGTTGTCCAAATTCCCATGCAAAATGCCCCAAATGACCAAAAAACCGCGTCTCCCTCATTAATTCCCCATTTTGCCACCCATCATACTTAAAACATTCTTATATATAAAATAAAATTAAAAAAAAAACAATATATATATTATATATATGTAATTTTATGTAAAAAGTGGTCAACTTGGTGTAAGCATCTGTTTTGGTTTGTGCAGGTCTTTAGGGAAGGGGAAGAAGAAGAGCTCAGAAGGTTGCTTTTAGAGAGAGAGAGAGAGAGAGAGATTTTGGTTGCAGCTTTGTCGTGCAGAAATGAAAGGAATCCAAACAAAGCCTCTTCAGATATCTAAATACTTTGTGTTATCCCTATTTTTCTCTCTTCCATTCCTCCTCCTCCTCTCTCTCCGCCCTTACTACCACCGATTCTCCACTCCGGCCACCGACAATTCCACCCCACAACCCTCCGATTTAAGGATCCGACCCGGCTACACTTCCTACGACCGCTACATAAAGAAGCAGCTCAACAAAACCCTCGACCCGAAGCTCCGAAAGATATGGACCACCCGCGATTGGGACCGGAAGATCCAGGTATTCTCCCGATTCTTCGAGGGTTTGAAGGGGGAAGGGCTTCTGTCCGAGGATTCGAAAGCCCTTTGTATCGGGGCTCGGGTCGGGCAGGAGGTGCAGGCATTGAGGAAGATCGGAGTCTCGGATTCCATCGGAATGGACTTGGTGCCCTACCCGCCGCTCGTGGTTGAAGGCGATTTCCACAACCAGCCCTTCGGAAACCACACTTTCGATTTCGAATTCTCCAATGTTTTCGATCACGCGCTCTACCCGGACCGATTCGTGGCGGAGATCGAGCGGACGTTGAAGCCCGGCGGGGTCTGCGTCTTACATGTAGCGTTATCGGGACATACGGATAAGTACTCCGCCAACGATCTGCATAGTGTGAAGCCGTTGGAGGCTCTGTTCCGGAGATCGGCGGTGGTCCGCGTCGGGAAGATCGACGGTTTTGGATTGGACACGGAGGTTGTCTTCCGGAAAAGGAGGGACGCCATCCAACGGTCGTAATTCCTTAATTACTGTTATGATTTGTGTATTTACTTACGGAAGAAAAAAAGAGTTTTATTTTATTTTAATTTATTTTATTTAATGATTAAATTTGGGAAAATGTATTAGAAAAGGAAGGAAAAGAAAAAGGGAATACAGCTGGATTGAAAGAAACTGGTGAGAGGGTTCCAACAGGCATTATTAGTGGGTTAATTTAGAATTATTTTTTGGGTTAATTATTCGTGATTGGACCACTTTTGGATGACATGGCGTGGTCCCACCGCTACGTCATGGACTTATTGCCTTTCCGACACATTCCTCCTTGTTTTCTTTCTTGTCCATCTGTGTTTTTTTTTTTTTTTTTTAATTCCATTTATTGGCTTGTTTTAATAACTATAATTCTTTTTTTTTTTTTTGAAATTATTATTGATATTAGTCATCTGCCTTGACTCGTTACATATTGTTGTCAAGCTTCATACAAGCGTCTGTTAGATAGAAGTTTGTCTTGTTCCTTCTAACCGATATAGGATCTCACAATCCATCTCCCTTGGGAGCATAGCTTCCTTATTGGCACACTAGTGATTGACTCTAAAAATTAGTTGTCTAAAGATCTGTTTTAGCTTATTATTATCGTTATCAACCTCACAATTTTTAAAATGCATCTGTTAAGGAGGGTTTCCGTTCTAATGTGAGTTTTATGAAATTTTAGTTATGAATCTAAAGTAATGATCTCCGATCACAAGTTGTCTGCATACAGCAAATCACGGAGAAACAAAGATAGGAGTGAAATGGGATGGGACCAAGTGTGGTAGTGGCAACCATTGTTGCCTTATAACTCATTTGAACTCATTACTTCTGCTTCTAAGAGTCATTCATTAAGATGTCTCTATTTTGTATTTTAAGACAACTATGTCAAAATCACGACGCAGCATAGCTGAAAAAGTACGATCGTGACATAGAGACATGCAGTTGCAAGGGGTGATAACCCGTGATTATTATTTGCATTAGTCATATCATAAGTTTCTTGTGTTTCTTGCTTTACAAAAACATAGCAAAATTTACCACCTCTTTTAAACTTTGTGGGTACATGACAACCTATGATTCGAAGCATCGATAATCGGGTCGTTACATGCCATCTTTCTGTAGCCCAAAGGTAATGGGACCTGCATTAACACTAGTAGTGCCTAGGATTAACATGAACATCAAGCAGAGGAATTCCACTCTAAACTACAATTGAATCAAACCTAATATGAAACTGATAGCATTCCTATCAGAAACAAGGCAGCAGTGCAACATGGACTTTATATGCTTTAACTCATAATGATTTTCCGAACCTGACTCGACCCAGTTTATATAAGAACTTATTGCTCAACTCAGGATGATATCATTTATTAGAAAACTTCATGTCACTCTCATGTGTCACTGCACACAGAGTGAAGCTTTGCATGTCATTAGAACTCATGATGGATGAAATGAAATATTGTTCATAATCATGAAATATAGCAGCAAACCCATGGCTAGTTGATGGAGAAAAACTCATTTTGAAATAAAGATGTGATACAAACTCCATAGTAATCACTGAAGTACACACGGTAAGAACCACAGATAGCCAAGCAATTTGAGATCTGATGGCACAAACAGCTTTGAAAACTGCTAAAGAAATGTGATTAAGTATGTTCGGAAGTGATTTTAATGAAAATTTGAACATGAATTGTTCATAAGGAGTTTATTAGAAGTGATTTTCATATACCTTTTGAATGGCTTTACACTTTTTAAGATGATTTCTTCTAAGCTCTTTAATCTTTCACTCCGTTCATATCAATACTTTACATATGTGAGATCTCACGTCGGTAGGAGAGGAGAATGAAGCATTCATAAGGGTCTGAAAACCTCTTCATAAGGGTCTGAAAACCTCTTCCTAGCACGCGTTTTAAAAACTTTGAAGAGAAGTTTGAAAGGGAAAGCCTAAAGAGAACAATATCTGCTAGTGGTGGGCTTGAGCCGGTACAAATGGTATCAGAACCAGACAGTGGGCGATGTGCCAGCGAGGAGGCTAAATCCCGAAGGGGTGGATACGAGGCAGTGTGTCAACAAGGACGCTGGGTCCCGAAGGTGGTGGATTGGGGGGTCTCACATAGATTGGAGAAGGGAGGTGGATTGTGAGATCCCACATCGGTTGGGGAGGAGAACGAAGCATTGTTTATAAAGGTGTGGATACCTCTTCATAACAGATGCGTTTTAAAAAATTTGAAAAAAAACCCGAAAAGAAACCTAAAAAAGAACCGAACACTCTCAAAACTACCAAAACAAGAATGCTATGGCATAAAGTACAGAAACCAATATGATCCAGTCCATGTCCATAAAGAAGGAAAAACAAATAAAGATCCCACTATTCTAGAACATGAAACAAAATGAATGGTTATTGCACTCATTTCAGATACTGAATCAATTAGTTTGGCTCTTTGTAAACATTCTAGAGTGTATAAACCTTATTAAGAACATTTTCTTGACCCAAATGCATAAAAACAATGCTTGAATTGCCACTTTCATGTAGAAAAGCTCATAAACATATTATTGTACCTGAGACTGATGTGTTCAACATGAGTCGATTGAACAGATCCATCCTTGATTTTGACAGAATCGGGTCCGAAACCCTTCTAAATTCTTCGTGCTTTGGACCCACCAAGATGAGATCAAGCACTTTTCTGAGAGCATTGAATAGCGAGGCCCTCGACAATACCATCGGTGGGTCCGGTCAGAAGCGGCCACGAGCTGTATTTCTTCAGGTCCATTGGGGGTCGGAGAAAATTAACACAAACCCATTTCAGAACAATCAAAGAGAAGTTTAGAATCGAGACAAGGGTTGCGGAAATCAACGACCTAACTTTGTGGGGACGTACCGAAGTGACCCAATTTGTGGGGATGTTTCAAATGAATTGTCGAAATTGACTTGATTGGTAGGGGAAGAAATGCAGTGAACCCAACAATCAACGTAACCCGCCACGTCCTTGGCTCCATCATAGCCCCTTCTTCGTCGTCCGATTCATCTCTGAGTCTGACTGCGACAAAGAAATTCTTTATGGGGTAAGTCCCTCTACTCTCCCAAATTTGTGTTCATCCTTTGATTGTGTGTTTCTAGATAGGTCTTTGAATTGCTCTCCTTTCCCTTTTTGATCGTACCGTTGCAAGACTAGTATTTGGCAATCGATACATCTATCGAGGCATCAGTGGAATATCCGAAGAGCTAGAATTTCTTGTTTTACGAAAGACATCGAGCGCACAAGTTACTCTATGTTTTCTTGAGTGGAGTCTACATTCGAGATCGAGGGAGCTCCCTCTTTGATTTCACGCATATTTTTATTAATTAATAAAAATATTGTTAAACTTTACATTTTGTATAAAAAATTATTTTTATCATTAGTTATGGTTAATATTTTTTTTTAAAAAAAAATAGTATCAAACTTTTAAAAGGGATTAAAAGATACCTTTAATTTCAATAATTTTCTTAGTCTCCTTTAAAAAAAAACTTCAAAAATCTTTTTTTTTTTTTACCATATTTTTGAAATATTCATGAACTATAAAAAATAATATTAAAAGATTTAAAAATAATTTGTTAAGTGTTCATAAATGATGTTGGTTCATATATTTACCGTAAAACAATTTTAAAATTTAAAGGTGCTATTCCAAATTTTTAAAAATTTAAGAATATTTTAGATAAACTATTTAGGTGCGATCCGTAATTATCTAAGTTAAAACATAAATAATTTTTTTATTATTTAAATTGGATAAAGATGGCCATTTAATCAAATTTTTAATTAAGTGAGCATAAAATAAATTAAGAATAATTAACACGTTTTTTTTTAAATAAGAGGTTTAGCATTATTAGAAAAAAAAAACCATATTTTTAGGTACATATATTTGGTGAATCACACAAATTTAAAACCACTTGTTTTTTTTTTTTTTTTTTTTTTTTTTTTTTTTTTTTTTTTTTTTTTTTTTTTTTTGTTACAAATGGGAATTGCCCCTATTTAAGACATAATTGAAAACCCTTTTTATTTTCTTTACCAGCAAATTATTAATATTCACATTAAATTCTGTAAACATTTAAAGCTTTTGACACGAGTTTATATTCATTTTAGTATAATTGACCTAACCGTTTGAGTCGCATTAATAATTGATGAGTCAGCATTCATAATTTAAGCTTTTTATTTGAAATAAGAAATGAGATATGGTTGAATTATTATTTTCGTGGCTATCTCTTCACCTTTCATTTCTTAATCTTTTCCATTATTGAGCTTTCATTTGGAGTAAAACATGGTTGAATTATTATTTTCGTGGCTATATATCCACCATAATTTTAGTGTTATTTCTTAATTAAAATTAAAATTCAAAAAGTTATTTATAAAATAAGCGACTAAATTCTTTTTTTTTTTTTTTATAGAATTGAATCATGCTCGGATTAAGAGGACAGGTCACAGTACCAACAAGACGTGAATGAGCTTGGCAATATTGAAGGGAAAGCAAACCATATTATATCACCTTATTGAACAACTCATCACATTCATGACTATTACAACACATTTACTATATCACCATATCTTGTAGTTGCAATGCAACAGTAGCCTTCACAGAGTTGCTTTTATTCTTGTTTGTAACCTTCAATCCCTTTCATGGCTTCCAATCCCTTCCTCCTCCTATGCAAGCCAATGGAGAGTCGCCACATGTCGAGTGCTGCCTCCGGGAGAAGACGAGCAAAGCACCATTGGAGCGAGTGAGCCCAGTAAGGGGTGCATCGTGGCTCGTATCCAATTCTGTGAATTGCAGCACTCACATAGTCATCGGCTGATGGAATGAACAGCGACGCTCTGCTCACCGACGCCACTCTCGACGCCATTTCAGTTGCCACATACAATGGCACCTGGATTTTTTTTAAAAAATCACACAAAAACTTCAGCTTTCAGCAGAGTTGTAACAAAATGAGTTCTTGTTATACTAACCTGACACTGCACATCAATTCCCCAATGCTTGTATTCCACATGTAGAGATCTTGAGAGTTGGTCCACGTACCTGAAAACAAAAAACCCACCAGATTCTGTCATCAACAAGATGGAAGTTTTTGAGCTTTTCGACTATCCCACCATCAGAAAGGTGGAATCGATGTGTGGTTGGAACAAAGAGTTGGGCTTCATTAAATATGTGAGATCACACGTCCGTAGGAGGGAGGAACGAAGTAATCTTTAAATGAGTGTTGAAACATCTCCCTAACAAACACGTTTTAAAAAAAAATCTGGAGGAGAAACTCGAGAAAAAATGCCCAAAGAGGATAATATTTACTAGCGGTAGGCTTTAGCCATTAAGGTAAAGAAGAAAATGAAGCCGATTCTACATATATATCAGTCAACAGCACGTTCTTTTAATACAAACCGAACCCATCTGCCAAAACCTGTACCTGTACTTTCTTAATCTCAAAATGCAGAGAAGTTAACAGTTTCTCAAAGTAGGTTTGGCAGGAAGACATGGGCAGCTGCTGAGGCAAGTGGGCGGTGAGGGAGGCACATCTCAGTAATCAGTTCTTCTCTCAGGAAGAGATAGAAAGAGATGGGTTTTTTTCCTCAAATTTTCTGGATTTCTTTTCCACTACTGTCCCTCCATGATTACGAGTTCCTGATAACTTAAAGTAAAAAGAACAAGCACAAGAACAAGAAAATAAACTGAAGAAGAAAGTTGGGAACTTGATTACTTACGCTTTTGTAGCAGCATAGATTGCGTAGAGAGGATGAGAAGGAACAATAACAGCAGCTCCAGAGCCAATATTCACAATAGCTCCTCTGTTCTTAGTAATCATCCTTGGCAAAACAGCTTTGGTAACCCAAGTAGTGCCCTTCACGTTCACTTTAAGAACATTCATCCAGACTTTCTCATCCACTTCATGGAAAAAACTGGCGTTTGGATATGTAATCCCCACGTTGTTTATCAGAACCCCCACGTCCAAATCTTGAATCACCTTCTTAAACTCTGCCATACCAGCACTAATATCATCTTCTGTGAAGTCCAATTCGATGATCTTTACCTTTGTATTAGGAAACTGAGATCGGATATCCTTAGAAACTGCCTTCAGCTTGGTGGAGCTTCTGCTCACCAGTATAAGGTTGAGGCCGGCTCTGGCTAGCTGATAGGAAAATGACTTTCCAATGCCATCGGTGGCTCCGGTGACTACTCCCCAAGAGCCATAGTATCTCAGGTCCTTGGAGGGTCTGAGAAAGACTCTGAAAACCCATTGAACAGCAGTGGTAGAGTGCCTGAGAATGGTGAAGAAACCAAGCAAGGAGAGGAGGAGAAGCCAAATGGGCTGAGTGGAGAGTAACAGAAAGAATGTCTCCCTCATTGTGTGCATAATTCGCTTTCTCCTCCTCCTCTTATTTTCCCTGCCTTCGCCTCACTTTCATGGTCATAACTGGTTCCTCAATAACAAGAGAGAGAGAGAGAAAGAGAGAGAAAATAGGAGGGTAGAGACTAGAGAGAGTAGAGAAAGGAAACTCTATTTGACTACCCACTTCGGACGAACGGTCATTTTCGTTAGTTCGTTATTTGAAATGTATACGAACCTCTTCAACCAAAACAAGAAATGCTTCCATAATGCTTCCATTTGTATGGATGCTAAAGAAATGAAGTGGGACTTACAAATGTTAAAAGACCGAAGAAATGTTTTTATTATGCTTGCGGTTTTGCTTTGGAAGATTAAATAACTCTAAATATGAACAAGGCCACCAACCATACGACATTAGAGGTAAAATCAGAGAGAAAACTGACACAGAGCTTCCTTCCTGAATATGCAACTAATGAAGTTACAACTGTCCTGTTGGAGTAATTTCTTCAAACAAAATTAGAGAGGCTCATATGTACAGAGTTAAGGAGTAAATGCCATCAATGGTTCATAAGTGCAATAAAAAAGTTGAAGACGACTTTATGAAATTTATGATCGATCTTAAATTTTGTACCTAGAAGTTGGAGGGTTCTTGAAAAACTAAGTGGGTCTAGTTCGTGATTCAGTCCTTCCACCTGTCAATTTTCAGTGCTTTATTTCATCAAAAGTTACCATATTTCCTGCAAGATAAAGAAATCGCCGATGTCATAACTCCTTATGAGAAGGACCACTACATTATCAAACCCAAGATGATAATTCTGCATCCTCCGTTACATTAATTGCTCACGGTGCATCCCCTCAGTTACCGTTTACATCATGTGAAGGTCGTAACACATAATGAAGACAAACTTTTGTTTTATTTCTTTAACAGATGAGGGCAATCACATATTTATCTGCTCCATCCCTCCGCTTTCAACTCTGAGCTTGCCTTGCTGTTAACGTGGGGAGAGATTAATGACAAACACTTTTAGTTCTCTGTCAACTTCATTCCGTTTCGAGGCTAGAAGAAGGAAATACACTTCAGCTATGAACCAATTAATAATCTTGAGATGTAAAGGCAACAACAATGCCGATCTGTAGATTTCAAATCCTAGGACCTTAGTGGTCCGAGTAGTAAGTACTATCATGGCCAGCGCCCTTTGGAAATTGCTCTTGGTGGAAAGGATCATCAGCGCCTTGTACAGAACTCAGTCTAGGAGAGAGGTTCCAACTCGTTATCTGTTCAATCTCTCGCCCATTTGATCTCATACTCGTTTCTTCTTTTAACTTCAGAAAGAACATTGACGACCAGAAATCTTTTGCCAAATTCTTCAATGGAAAAAACAGAACAAATACAGAGATGTGATGGAATTGAAAAGGGTGGAAAATGAAAGTGAGAGGTGCAATAGAATTATTTACCATCTTTATCAATTGTATCAGCTCATTTAGTGCGTTATTAAAGAGATTGGGATCAGCCAGATCAGACGTTGTCAAAATCTCTTGACGGCATCGGTAAGAAATGTTCACCTCCATTGTTGCACCTGTTGGATGAATGGAACATGCCACTTTGAATAAAAACAGAGCTCATTTTAAGTTCAAAAGTGAAAAGGCCTAAATAAAATCAAGTTTCATCCTTGTTGATCGTTCCGTCCCCACACAAAAGAGAACAAAACAAAAAATCATGAGTTTAGGTTTTATATAAAATATGATAATGACCAAATATAAAGGCATATAACGCTGACTTTTTTTTTTTTTTTTTTTTTTTTTTAAAAAAGGTTAAAGGNTTTTTTTTTTTTTTTTTTTTTTTTTTGAAAAAAGGTTAAAGGAGTTTGATTAGTTTAAGAATAAATAACATCAAAGTGAGTACAGTGACACTATGTGAGTAGGTAGGAGGTTAATGCTGGTGGAAAGTATGTACTCTAGACAACCGTTAACTGTTTTCAACATTATAACTGAAATCACAATGACCAAACATTTAAGAATTATACTGACCAAAGAAAGAGTTATTTTTTAGCCCCCTCAGCTGAAAATTAGTTCATCTTCAAAAGGAGTCACATCCTCAATGTATTCCAATAAAAATAAAAATTTCTACTCTACTTGAAAGCATACATTATAATGGAACTTTAGGTTGAAAGGGAGCATTACTGGTTAAGTTTCAATAGATCCAAGTGCACGAACCTGGACTTATGTAGTTGTCAATTATATGTCTTGCCATATAGATTCTTCTCACAGGGTCATCCAGAGGCAGTTTTCCTAGCTCATGCACTTCGTCATAAAAGTGCACGTTCTCCCCAGCTAAGCAACTGCAATTGAGAAAGAAAAAGGATAGAGTAGTATGGTAAAATCTCACGTAATTAAACCCTAGTTTTTTCTAGAAGTTGAAAGAAAACAACCTCGAAGAGTTTTACATGAAAAACAGTTGTAAGGAAGCAGATAACTGAACAAAGACAAATTATGTTGAATAGCCCAAGGCACACAAAAACACAAGTAGAAACAGATTGGGCTCAGGTATTTCAAGGTATCTGAGTACTCCTTGAACCAAAAGCTTGACGCAAACTCCCACCTGTGTTCTCTCCCTCTCTCATCACCTCTTCCCTCTACTCATATAAAAAACCTTCGATACTAACAAATCCCCCCAACAAAGTCAAAGCAAACAAACTCCTCAATCATAGTGCGCATTCAAACAAATTAATTACTGATACCATCTTCAAGTTGAATCTTCAACTTTTTTCGCTCTCTGTTACAGAAAAATACAAGAGTAATTAATACCTGTCAGCAAAAGCCATGAATGACTGACGAAATCTTTTGTTCAGAAGTAATTTCTCCAGTGGTTCATTAGGATCCATGACTGTTTCCGGTTCCCTTTGTAGTAACAATCCACTATCTGGTATGCCCAGAGCCTGACCCATTGAGTCATACTCAAGGCTTTCCCTTTTTCTCAAACTGATTTGAGAAAGCAGCGGTTGTGAGCTTGATATAGAGAAGAAAGTCAGCACAAGAATACTTGCCTGTGAAATATGCCTGGGAAATGTTAGGTAAATTGGCATAAGACTTGAAAAATGACAGACTACAAGTGAAATACTAATACCATCTTATATTTGGAAGCAAGGTACCAAAAAAAAAAAAAAATTCTTTGCTGGTTAGGACGGGGAGAAGAAAATGAGTAAAGCAGCACAGATGCCATACCATGACTAATAGCAGAAATCTAGAGGCAACTTGGAGTCCTAAGATTTCTTCATGGATTTCATTTGTAATATAGGCAGAAAGCCAAACTCCTGGAAGAAAAAACAACCCCAAGTTTTGAGTCTTACAGTATTTAAGCATATATTTACTTTGGACAAGAGAGCTTGCCAGTAAATAGAATGGACTGTAAATTCTTCTTTATATTAATTAGTTTTTATAATAAAAGACAATCATTGACGATTTGGGGAAAATACAAGGTAAATATGAAAAAAATGCCACTAAAAAATTCAAAGATGTAACAGAAGCCTTTTTAAGTGTGAGATGCAGTAAAGCAAAATTATCCTCTGAATCTAGGTCTTATGAGCTTTCTCAAAAAAAAAAAAACAAATTTCTTGAAGGTGCACATTGAAAATGTAAATACTTTTTATTTGGATGATAAGATAATGAAACTTTTAGGGAAAAAGGCTCTCGTAAGAGACCTATTTGACTGGCACCTATTAAGTTTTCATGTTCAAGCTGAGGTTTGGTATACAAACAATAAAAAAATTTCTTCATCATGAACTATGCCAATCAAAGAAGAAGAAAAAAAAATCAGAACCCCTACATACCAATAGAAGATGCTGAGACTATTACTCCCTTCCACAGATCTCTAAGTTCATCAAACCTGAACTCTATGTGACGAACAGCCCATGTAAGTACAATTAAAGTGGCAACATATAGGATATGGAGAGACATGATTGGAGCAATCCACTGAGGACGCATGTGACACCTGTAATTTAGAGGCTTCTTGACATTGATAACTGCAGCCAAAAATGAAATATTCTTGTTTCCATAACTTTCTCATCAGAAATTACAAAAAGAATATCATGAACTGGTATTATATCTACATCATGTATACCATATATTGTGGAAGATAAAATATTTCCGTCAAGTAAGTGAATGAAGTTGATGTTTCGTGCACAATGGTTCTAAAGTAATTAAGTTCGTTATTTTAGTGCTCAAACAAGAATATATACATATATATAAATTCCAAATAAAAAGGACTCTCACATGTAGCCCCGGAAATCCATGGCAATAGAATAAGTGGAAGGAAGATGTATGTTTTGATGGGTGGTAGACGACGCCTGAATCAAAATTCAAATCCAAAAGAATGTAACAAACCATTAGAAAGGGAGGGGGATAGAAGAATCTCTGAGCTTTCTAGTCCTCTATTCCATAACCTATAATCTACTTACTTTACAAAAATGTAATATAGCTGGAAGGTCTGTGTTATGCGACTGCTCAGCAGCAAACCAAATCCAAGGGGACCTTCAATCCACACTGAAGCAAGAAATGGAAAATAAAATTTGGGAAGTAAGTAATCACAAACATTTAAGAACCCTATTTGATATGGAGTTTCTAAATTCTAATGATGATAAAAGTATTGAAACCTGCCCAAATATAGCAAGACCGCCACCTTCGCCTCTTTAATTTGAGGAAACTTAGAGATATCTGAACAGAGAGACAGAAAAGTTGCATAAATTACACCTCAAATCGCAAAATGGAAAAAAGATGGAGTAATTACACATAGTTTCATAGCCTACCACAATTGACAGCAGAAGATTGAGGCTAGCAAAAACTTGAATTACTGGAATCCAAAAACGGCTGCCTTTGGGAAGAGGAATTTTATAAATCACGTATGGTAATATCGATCGAAATATCAGCCTGAAAGCAAGAAAGTGGGATAATGTAAAGCCCGATTCATACAGACAAATTAGCAATGAAACAACAGGAGCAAATGTGGGAAGAGCTTAGCCTTCAACGAGCAACTAGCTCAGTTCTAATAGGTAATACTGCATAGCGCACTCATCAACAATGAAGAAGAACCAATTATTCAACAACAAAATAAAGATATATTCCATTTATTTAGAAGAAATGACGTTCCATGTAAACGAACTAAAACCAAATTCATCCAAGAAAAGATAGAAGTTGGACTGAGAGAGAGGAAAGAGAGATATAATGAACTCAGC